TTTAAAATTTGAACATAATCAGTCAAAACAAGTTGGAAATATGGGTCTAGAAGCCCATTCATTAAAACAAAATGGCCGCCAGTCGGCCATTTTGAATCTTATCTGAAAAACAAAATTATTTGCATCAAGGTCCCATAATGTCTAATGTATATATCAAGTTTGAACAAAGTCCATCTGTAAACAGCCGAGAAATGCTTGATTTTTATGATTTGTTAGCACAAAAACGGCCTGCCATTCGGCCATCTTGAATCAGATCGGATGATGAGATCGTGAAACAAATTTACGTGCATATGTATGATGTCATGTATGATGTATGTGTGAAGTTTGATTGTGATTGGTCCGAGGCATTTCTAAGATACAGGTCCGGAGGCACGCACAGACGCACGCACACACGCACGCACGCACACCACACACACAGAGGTCAAAACATAAGTCCCCGTTTTGGGACTTCGTCCGAACGGGGACTAATAAAACTCAGCAGAGTAGGCAGTATATTATAATGATACATGTATATCAACAATAATGAACTTCCCACAATACCATATTAAATATGGAATTAATACTCCTGACGATAAATCATTAGAATATTGCATACTTCAGTGCTACATTAGTCTATTAGATTAATTCATATGCCAGTTAATAAAATTGAATATTAAGCACATAGCAGTAAATATAGTATTTCAGATTTTTTGACTGCACAGAAATCACAAGTTCTCTAAAAATGGAAGGATCACTGCCATTTTGTTGAGATATCAAAAAACTGCAACATTTTCTGAGCACATTACTTGGGTCATGCTGTGTTCTATATATATACTTAGCTAACCACATGACTACGTGCTCTAGTCTGTTTGGAGTCATTATTTGGTTTGACATTATACAACTCACTTTCAGTGCTTAATTTTTCCCTAACCTTTTCAACGCTAGACTTTCTCGTCAAAATTTGTCCTGCAATTTATTCTTATATTCTTCTGGAAATGGACCCTTATTTTAGAGCCAACAGACAAACAGAAAGCCAACAGAAAAAATCTTATGATGATAAGTGCAGGACTATTTTGTCAATTTGTGATGAAAAAGATTAAGGCCAAAAAAGGTCAGGAAAAATTTGAAAATGGTTTGTGGGAATATGGTTTTAATTTTGTAATATATTTTGATTATTTAATATCAACAGGGTATATGTTGAGGTGCTCTCTGGACTTTTAGAGTCTTAGTAAATATGATAATTGAAAACAATAAATTCCATATACATCATAATTTTTACTAATTCATATTGAGAATTAGGTAATATTGAAAATAAAACTTTAATTACTGCATTTCCGGAAAGCTAGCAGTGTTCAGTGTTCAAAATTCACTAAATAATGCTTTCAAAGTTTATTTAGATCCACAAAATATTCTCTGAAACAGAAAACAAACATTTTACCAATTCTAAGGTGTATGGCACACAGGTATGCAAATTTGTCAACTGTTTAGTTCCATAAAAAAAAAAACTGAAATGAGTCAGCCATTTTGCATTTGTAGTTGTAAAGTTTGATTGTGATCAGTTAATGTATGTCAGAGACATGGATCTAGAATTCAGCCAATTATCTGATCTAGTTTTATATGTGCTCAATGTACCGGTATGTAAAAGTATGTACTATAGCTGTCCATGCACTTAGATCAGGGTCTGGAATAGCAGAAATACTTGATTTTGATTTAGTTTTAACATTTAAATGGCCACCATTTGGCCATGATCTGTAAAAATAAAATGATGCGCATCAAAGTCCCATAATATCCAACGTATGTACAAAATTTTCACAATATTACAAGACAAATCGTGTTCTGGAATGGCAAAAATGCTTGATTTTGATGAATTTCTAACATTAAAATAGCTGTCATTTGTCATTTGTCATATTTAAGATCATGAAACGAATAGAAGTGCATACGTATTGTAAGATATATTATCTGTGTGTGGAGTTTGTCCGAGATCCGAGATACACGTTCAGGTTCATAGAGGTCAAAAACTTCAAAACAGTTCTTGTTTTTGTGTGAGGCACAGATTTTTAAACTGACACAGTTTTTCAATCTAAGGTAACTTTATGACTTCTTGTGCATCCCATATTTATTTGGATAGATTAAATTAGTTAGATAGATTAGTTAGCTTACCTTAGGTACATTCTTGAAGCCAAAGTCAGCTTGGGTCATGGATGACTTGTAAATATTGTCATTAATGTTTGTGGTGTCAAAACCAAAGTCAAAATGCATATTATTCTGCAGATATAAAATAAGAAAATTGTCAGTGAACCAGTAATGTATGTAAATGAGTTTGTATTGCATGTAAATGAGTTTGCATGATATGTAAATGAGTTTGTATGGTATGTAAATGAGTTTGTACTGCATGTAAATGAGTTTGCATGATATGTAAAATGAGTTTGTATTGCATGTAAATGAGTTTGAATGGTATGTAAATGAGTTTGTATTGCATGTAAATGAGTTTGATTGGTATGCAAATGGGTTTCTATTGCATGTTAATGAGTTTGAATGGTATGTAAATGAGTTTGTATTGCATGTAAATGAGTTTGATTGGCATGTAACTGAGTTTGAATGGCATGTAAATGAGTTTGAATGGTATGTAAATGAGTTTGTATTGCATGGAAATGAGTTTGAATGGTATGTAAATGAGTTTGACTGGTATGTAAATGAGTTTGTATTGCATGAAAATGAGTTTGTATGGTATGTAAAAGAGTTTGTATGGTATGTAAAAGAGTTTGTATTGCATGTAAATAAATTTTTCCTGCATGATTTGGTGATCATTACTCACTTGGTTCACTTTACTCTGAGAAGTCAGTTCTCAGTTTACAGTACTAATCAAAATCTATTGAAATTACTTTTAAGTGCAAAAAATGCTTTACATGATTTTCCTAAATGAATATTTTTACCTTACTTGAAAGGCCCACTATTAGAAAAGATTGAACCTCAGTATGTGTAAGAGTCAACCACCTCAATTGTATTACTGTAAAAGAATTAATTATTCACTGGGTTTTAATTTTGCTTATTTCGCTGACTGGAAAATGCACTAAATTAAAACCCAGTGAATACGTAAAATTGGGCATAAAACACGTTATCTAAATGATAAAACCGTGAATTTGAAACCCAATGAATATGTCTGAAATGCTAAATCTAGTGAAAATTAGTCATTTCACAGTGGTGATTTTAGAGATTGGAAAAAAAAAATATCTGTGTTTTCATAGATATATTTATCTCCATGTTATTTTCAAAAGCTATTTCTGCTAGTACATTAAGTTGCTGTTGTAAAGAGTCTGCATTCAATGTTAATAGGACAGGATTATGCGCATACATCAATGAGCTAACATGTCTACTTTCTACCTCAGGAACTGGAAAAAACTTATCATTCACATACAAAATAAACTAAATTAGACTCATAGGACATTCTTGACGTACCCCTTTTTTTGCATTTGAAATATTCGTAAAGATGTGATCTGCTGACTAAGACCCAAGTTTAAATCCGACATGATTTTTGATGAATAATTATGTTACCATAGCTGTAGTTAGATATTGTGTCAGCAATAATTTGACAGAAATATTTGTCAAGAAAACTCTCAACAGAAATATCAATATAGATTGATGAGTTATTCGGATCCCCAGATTTAAATATATGTGTAATTAGTATTATGCAAATCATATTTGTTTCCATGCAAATGTTTTTGAATTTTAAATCAAGATTAAAGGTCAACCAAGTCTGACTGCAATCTTTTACTTGAGGTGTTTTTTTAAGGTTTTGAGCAGCTTCCCAGAATCCTTTGGGGTTAGCCTTTTTAAAATTAATCAAAGAAGTGTAGATTTTCTTTTCAAGTTGTTTTTCTGTTTCAATGAGTAAATTTTTATATTGTTTTTTAGTATCATGATATTGTTTTCTGATATTAGGATTTTTTGGAAATCTATTTATTGGTTCAATTGCATTTTTATGGTTTTTATTGTAGTATTCTTTTGATGTTTATTATATATCATGAAAGAAGAAACTTGATAAATTGACAGAAGTAACTAGGATATCATTAAAATCAAAGACAGCTTTGTTATATTTAATATTAACAATAGTGTTAATTTTGCTTTCAATCTAGATTTATAGAGTGTTAGAATTAATTGTTATGATTGTTTTTAAATGTTTTAGGCAATGGTTTATAGTGATCGATGTTTATGGATATGGAGAGGTACATCACTGGAAAAATATGAAACTATTCAAGTATAGACAGGACTCTCTGATCTGCTAAAACGTAGTCCCCACTGTACCCATTCCATTATTGTTATAACTGAGATATTTCTCTCGGATATTTTCGATACCTTTTCTAATCGCAATCCTCAGGCTTATATGTCACAACCGGTGTATACTGACGAGGCGAGACGATCACCTCCCCATAGGGTCTCACCTGTACGTTAGGTAGGGGTATCCCGTGTTTGCTTCTCTCGTCTGTATATCTGAGTTTTGCGCATGCGCGAATGTTGCTGGCACTGTGTGGAATGTTGTCGACACAGTTTCGGCTTAATTTTTTTTTCTGATTCTCTATTCGCGGGCGAAAATTACATGTAAGCTACGTTGTGATAAAGATTAGAATAAGAAAACACCCCGCTTCTCAGTTGACATGTTCGTTTGAGACGGCGCAGACCACCGTGACGACCAACCAACACAAATTCGGATGATAAGTCTCGGTTACGGCGTAGTGCCGCAGTTCTGTAGCTCGCAGGTGGATGTTTTTTGCCTTTCTGTTGCATTTAAGTCATTGTACAATACACATTACGAAAGCACAAGACTTGACTTCAGGTCTGTGTTCCCCGAGTACAGTTTTGTAGCCGTTCCTGTTGGTTGTGCTCCCTCAACGGTATTTGTTATCATATTGCTGGAAACAAGCAGATCGCCGGCCCGCGGGGCACCCTTCGGCTAAGTCACAGTGAACAAACGCTACACCATTACACTTATTGCCATTATTTCTATTTTTCTTCCCAATTCTGATTATAATTCTATTTCATTACCACCATCTTTCAATTATCCCGTAGTTATTTTTATTTTTTTTAATTAGTTATGCTAATATAAAAGTAAAGTATATCTTACCAGCATGGCTGACTTCTGTTTTACATCATTACATGTGAACAGAAAAGAAACATTATGTTAACGGTTAGTGACGCAAACAACTGCATATAATTTCACAAAACCTTTTTTTTTAAATCAATGTGTGTTAATTTTTAACTGCAAAACATTAACTGTACTTGTAGCAGCATTAGTTATACAATGTCAGTATATGCCATTGAAGCTCAGCCAAGCAAATACTAAGTAGAAACATTAATTCAGAATAGGAAATGAAATACAGCTGCTTGAAAACATAATTCAAACTGAATACATCACCGGTGTCGGTCATATTAGCATTGCCATAGTAACAAACACAAAATAACTAACCCGAGCTTTAGGTGACATTTTGCCTATCCCATCGTCCTTTGCGAGTTGTTCCCCCTGTGAAAAAGATTATGCATTATGGATGGAAAGTACACAGTATCAAATTATACTGATATATATAATATGTTTTTCAGCGAATCAGTGCACTGGTTATTGTCTAGAAATATTGAAATTCTGACAATACATACATTGAAATAATTTCATGGTGACTTGAGCCCATTGGCTACGTGCAATCTTAACACGAGTCACGTGGTTTTGTCAAGCTGTTCAATGGAATGTATTTCTAAAGTTCTAATAATTAATCAGGATCGTTCGTCATAATCTTAAGTATGTTTAACTGGAACTCAAGTACACACACTACTAACGTTAATACACTTCTGTATGCAGGTCTATGGAGCAATCCAACTAAAATACTTCTATATTAAACTTCAACCCCGAAAACTAAACTGCTGGCTCTAATAGTTCTAGTATGACGCAACTAAATGTAAGGAGTACTTATTACATTCTCTGTTGTTTATCACGATATTGTGCATCACATTCAAGTCAAAGTTCTCATTAACACGTTTAAAACTCCGTGGGAATACCAGGGAGGGGGTATCGTCTGCAAACAATAGTAATCACGATCTATCTATAGTGGGACTATGTATCAATGCATTAACTTAACGACTCAGTCTTTGTTTTGTTCGGAAATTAAGTTGAAATTAGAAATGTGAAGAGTTTTATAGTATTGCCATTAGACATGTACTGATCTATGAATCAAATAAGTTAACACAATTACCCCAAGCACAGAATTCACATTCGACGTTTCAACGTCGTTGCTTACCTGGAAATTCCATTTGGTGATACTTTTCCATCGTAAATCGCTTTCATTGTCCAAACTATCATGTCTGTTCAAGTGTTTGACATGGTCTCTGACATGATCTGCCGTTAATACAGACTGAAGTCGCCGTGCGAGCGCGTTCCGCGATTCGCCATATAACTCTTCATGGCGTCGAGTTAAATCTAAATCTTGTGTACTCATCACAGAATTACAAAATAACAAGACGTACTATCTCCCAAACCAAATTTAAAATATATTCCAAAACTACGTCGGCTGTTTCGGTGCGGTTAGCAACGAAACGTACTCGGCGACAACCTCTTTCCAACAACAGTGGAACATTCTATTATTAGCGCGCGTTGCGTCTGTAACTAAGCAACGACGCCACTGACAATGGACTCGCATCTTACAACGCCGAATTCACACACAACGAACATTCCCACCAATATTTCGTACCAAGTTTCTCATGAGTAAATCTTTTAGTTGTTGAATTGTCAACGACATAACATTTCGTTCATGTCCCACTGCATAAACTTATCAACTCTTGTTGGTATAATGGTATCTCCCACGTTGTGTGACCTATCAACTTTTTGTTACGCAATTAGTACAGTATTTTGAAATCGATTTTCAACTGATTTATGACTGCGTACACATAAGCTACTTTAACGAATCTGAGGTGAATAATGACGTGTGTCCACGATTTAACATGACAGCATATTCAATATATACAATTTTTGAGTTTTGAATAAATTATACAAAAGTCCGACATTTGACAACATTTGCAAACATTGTAGTGGCCATGTGTATTTCATAATCGCAGTCGTTCAAAATAATATCAAAGATTTCGGTGTTTAGTTTCATTTTTGAATATTCAATAGGAAAATATCAGAGTACTTTTGGTGTTTCTAGACCATAGGCAAATAAAAGTACAAACTATTTTATGTGAACATGCTTTAAAATATTTCTGCATTTTTTTAAGATCATGGAAAACATAGACTGCCACTCATAGACTTTATACGTAGACAGTTTAATGAACAGCGAAGCTGTGCTAGATATTTCTACGACAATTTTGACAGGCGTAATATATTTTTCACAGAACACACTGGTTTCGATTTCTGAATAAATATCAAGTTTATCAAGTCTACACATGTCACTGTACCAATATTGGAGTACTAGTAAGTAACTTTTAAGTCCGACCGTGAGTGACCTGCGGGTGACCGTGAACGACTTTTATCTTAGTTTCGTTTTTGACTGGGAAAGACACGTGATTATATAAACGGGGGCTACCCTACATGATACACGTATCAATTGTGAATAATTAGTGGTTCCATTTTAGCTCTCTTTTGTGCGTGTTTTTTTTTCATATGCTACTGATGAAGAGTTCGAAATGTCTAGCTATTAGTATTTTGAGTAGTAATTTAGGGCAGTAAATACTGAATATCAACTGAGTGTGCTCGGTATGCCGCAAGCACAACACAAATATTAGAAGTAATATTTTATTTAGCCAGTGCTTGGGGAAGACTGATTCACGGATTGCTGCCGTTAGTGGCGTGTTTGAGGAATCCAGAATCAGTATCGGTCACAGGCGACATCAAGCTGAATGATTTCGTTTTTTTTTTTCAAATACGCTATATTATTCATAGTTTATTTATGAAGTAAAAGTTCACCAAATGTATGTGTCGTATTCAACTTTCTGTGGAATGTTGTGCGTTAGAAATGCGTTTATTCAATTATCAATGTAGTTCTGCCGAAATGATCCGACTAAATCGCAGGAAAAAATCAGAATACACGTCTTCTGGTTTATTGCTTTCATAATGATCTGTCTTTCGTTTTTTGAACAACACTAGAGAGTCGTACGAGAGTTCACCGTAAGTGTGCGTTAAGAATACATGATATTTGAATTTTCAAAATCTCTTGTGGCAAAGACTGATCCCTGATTTAGGGTTACTCGGTCGATGCTTGGAGTACAGAATATACCAGATTATAATGAACACATCATATTCCGATCTGTGCCATGGTTGCAAAAGCCATACCCAGTCCATCCAATCCAAGGTTTTATCATATACCTTATATGTGTTATAACAATTTTAGCACGACGTGACCTCAAACACAATTCTGTAATTTAGGATGACGCGTTTTGTTTTGAATGATGAAAGCCGGGCACGCTGGACCAGGAGTGATACGAAAAATTATTGTCCCGATGTGAGGGCGCACTTCCCGTAAGGTTAGGCCGGGCAATACGCACTTATGGTAATTGTTATTATGAATTGAGCTGTGTTTACCACTGTTTTGTGGAATGTTGACAGTTAATTGAGTGTATGAAATATATGGATAACATTCCAAATAGTGTGTCAATAATTGTCGTTATATTTTTTAAATGAGATAAATATCGGAAACTGAATGTGATGTGTGATAAAAACACATATTGCACGCGCGGATTTAGGGGGAGGCGCGCCCCCTTCAGCCCGCCAAAAAAAAGACAAAATCAATTAACAAACCTAGCCCACCGGAGGTATACTTCGACCACATCAATAGGAGCCCCCCTACCGAATTTCTGGATCCGCCATTGCATTGACTGGCTTTATTCGGGCAATAACATACGTCAATTTCCCCTACGTATGTTATTGCCCTCGACCAGCCAATACGTGTTGACTAGAAAAGAGGCGTACACTGTTTGCAATAGACACGACTGTACCGATAATTGTTGTCTCAAACTAGTTATATATTATGATAACCAAACAAGAAGAGTCAGATAATTTTATGAATTGTGTATACCTCGCCCAAGACTATAGACTTTATCGAACTGTTTTTTTTTTCTGCCAATAGCGTCGATTACTGATTTATTGTTATTTTTAGTCGAACAATAATATTTGATGATCTTAGGCTATGTTGAAATGTCATAATAATATCAATAC